GGAAGGAAGGCATCTTGTCTTGCCACTCTGGGCCCAGCAGTAACATGTCTTGAGCAGGGACATCATCCCAAATCATCTTGCTGCCTGAAACATTCGTGCTTCCATAATATCTGTGAAGATTTTGTCATCCAGGTGAGGTAATCTGGAAGTTGAGTCATGGTAAATGGTCTTCTTTCTTACTAGGTTGAAAAGTTTCGCTACTCATCCAAGGAGCTTCTTCAGTCTGAGGAGAGTTGGCAGGAGATCCCTGATAGATCCTCCACAGTTGGGTTCTCTTCCCCCTGGTCTGAACAGGCTTCTATTAGATGGACAATGGATGTGGGAGGGATGAGTGTCATAGGTCGTCAACAGTCATTAACAGTGCTCTTTCTGGTGGGTGTGGTCCTGATATTTCTGGGAGGAATGAAAGGGCAGCATGATAAATAGGAGACAGATTGTATCTAAAGCCTCCACACCTGTTGAGTGAGGGATTTTCTATATGCACATGTATGGCCTCCCTGACCCCTCTCTCAAACCACCTGTCTTTTTGGTTCAAATTGAACACATCTTGGTCATCAGATGAGTGCCCTTTGTCCTTCAAATGAAGGAACACTGCTGATTGTGATCCTGAGCCATTACCCCTACTCAGCTGGGCCATTCTTCTGTTTAGTGGCTGTTTGGTGTCTTCAATGTGAAGCTCTGCACACTCCTCTTTGCATTGAACCACAAATACAGGGTTTGAAAAATGCACTCGTCCACTCGTCTGTGATGAGTGAAAAATGCTGCTCAACAGAGTCACAGCTCCCTCCCTGCCTGCCCCCTTCCCCTCCGCCTGTCTCTCTCCTGCAGTCCTCCCCTCCCCTTTCCCATTGCAAAAGGAAAACTGCTCTTTTCTTGGAGAAGAGAGTTTGATTGGCACATAGAGACACAGCTCTGCAAGAGAATTTAGAGTAGTCCCATGCTGGATAATACGGAGATTCCCTGCTCCCAATTTCAACCAAACGAGGACACATCCTGGGGTGGGAGGGAACCGTGGCTCCTTAAGAGACTGGGCACTTTTGCTTTCAATGTTTTGTTTGTTTGTTTGTTTTTGCTGAAAACATTCAAAAGAAAGACATTCAAAATACAAGCTTCATGACCCCACAGGCAGGCAGGTAATAAAGCAACTGCTACAGATGGCATATTAACATCTATGTCAGTATTTGATACTTTCACATGGCCAGAAATGTCCTTGGAAAGTTTTGATAAAAAGGAAGTAACCCTACTTGTATCTCATTATAAAGACCTTTTGCAACACAAGGGCAAAGAAGACATAATTCAGAAAGCCCTGGATGAATGGTATGAATTCAAAATACCTGTATGTGCAAAAGGTCTGTCATCAGTGGATTTACTGGGAAAGGCAATGAACCACCACGGGGGTAGTTTTACTGTTCTTCTGAAGCTCCTTAAAATTGCCTCTCTTCTACCAGCTTTTACAGTGAGCTGTGAAAGGGGTTTCAGCCAGATGAATCTGATCAAAAATTAATTCAGATCGTGTTTAGAGACTGAAAGCTTAGATGACCTTATGATGGTGAATCTAAACGGACCTCCAACTACCATAGTTTAACCCTACTAAAGCCATCGATAAATGGTACTTCCAAGCTAAAACTACCAAGGTGGACAGAAGTGCAACACCTCTGACAGCAGTGCATTTTCTACTAAGAAGACATAGGCGAATACTGTGTGCGTAATACAATTTATTTTGGATTTGTACGCATTGTTACGTAGAAATAAAAGTGAACAAGTGCCTAGTTTAAATTTGTTAACATAATTTGCAAGGCTATAGTCTGGTCATGCTGACTGGTGTAACTTTTGACTGACGGGTGAGACACTCTAAAATTTTTCAAGCCCTGCGCATATGCTATATTGTTCCTGTTGTGTTCTGGTGTCCGTTCTTCTGGGTGGACGAGTCTCTGCCTTAGTGTGTTTGAGGGTTTGAAGTGCAATGCATATGTGGTGTTTACAAAAAAAAAAAAAATCCTTTTCAGCTTTTCAGACACACCCGCCCTGTAAGGAATGACCAGGTTCTTCCGTCGGCTTTGGGTCTCAGGCTGTTCTGTGGTCCTCCTGGGTCAGGACATGGCCTCGTTAAAGGCCCATTTTGGATCTCCACAAACCTTCAGGGCTGTCTTCAGACACCTGTCTTCCTCCTTCTTGGCGACTGTGGAGGTGGGGATGTTTCTTGCTCTGCGGGTTAGCATCCCGATGACCCCTAGGTTGCGTTGGCATGGGTGATGAGAGTATTGCAACACAAACTAGGGGTCATCAGGATGCTAAACCACAGAGCAAGAAACATCCCAACCTCCACAGAAGCCAAGAAGAAGGAAGGCCGTCATGAGACACTACCTCTGTTCTCAACACTCCCAAACATTTGACTTATCTTCCCTGGCTGGTTTCTTCCTTGGTGTCGCTGCTGTCTGCCATGGCTACTTTCCAAAAGCCGCTGCTACGCCTGCCGACGCACAATAGGTTTTCATCAGCCTGCACCAGATTTTGGACAGTGGCCACGTTTGTGGTTCCCCAGCAAGGAAGGGTAATTGTTGTTGTCTAGCCAGCAGGCAGATGGGTTTGTTCAGAGTGTTTAGCTACCCCTTCCGCAGATCTGTGCAGAGCTACGCAGAGATCAACAAACTAATCCACTGAAGTCTTGCAAGATTAAGAAAAGTTGAAAAGCTGAGGAGAGAATTCTGGGTATTTTCACACCTGGAATTTAATTCTGTCCAACTTGGTTTGTTCTGCTCCAGTTAGCTTGCCACGCCAATAGTCAAGTGGGCCTTTACATACCTTTCACTGTGGTTCCTTTCAGCTTAATAATAACATTTATGGGCCTTCAATTCAATCCTGATTTATGACAACACTTGTCATAGTTTTCCAGATAAAGAATATTCAGAAATTGTTTACCATTTCCTTCTTCTGGGGTTATCTCAGGACTGTGCAGCTGGCCCAAAGCCACCCAGGCTGGCTCTACTTGCAGGAAGCACATCAT